CCCAGTCTTGTAGCAACATTTACACTTTGAAGGTGCAAAACGCATACCAAATATGGTTACGTTGGCATTCAGGCTGTTCAAAAAAGCTTGCAACCTACCTGGATCTTCACTTCGTAGCACAATGTCGGCTGCATACTCTAGATCAGACAGTCTGCTATCTGGTAGTATATCGATGCCGCCTTCCTCGCACTAGGATAGGGCTGTTTCCATAATCAGATCTATAACAAAGTTGAATAGAAATGGAGAGACAGGGCAACCCTGCCGAACACCACTTTCCCGGACTTGACTTCGGCTATTAGTATAAAGCGATCGTAATATTGAAAGTAACTTCTCGGGCATACCTTTCAGAAAAAGGCAGGACCAGAGTTGAGAGCGGTCGACTGAGTCGGAAGCCGCTTTCAAATCCAGGAGAGAGATGGTGGGTCAACGAAAAGAGTGTCTGTGTTCTAGAATTTGACGGAGAGTGAAAATGTGGTCGATACAACCTCGATCAAATCTAAATCCAGTCTGATTCTCACGCATGTACTCTTCACGCGCGGCAGACAATCGACGGAGTATAATGCGAGCGAGAAGTTTAGAAGCAATGTTAATTGAACTAATTTCTCTGTCGTTTTTTACAAGAGGATCTGTCACCTTTCTTGTAAATCGGTATGATTATCGATTCACACCATCCACCTGGAACCTGTTCTCTCTTCCACACTGAGCCCAGGAGTTTCGTCAACTCCGAAACCAAGGCTAAACCTCCATCCTTAAAAACGGATGGGGAGAACCCGTCGGGGCCGGAGGCCTTATGCCTTTTGAGATAGCTGATGTCCCGGGAAACCTCCATTTCAGATGAAGGACTAGCATCGACTGCAGAATTTTCGCAGTCCCGATGGAGGCTGATAGTTCAGATGTCGATAGGGTCAGTTGAGCTGAGCCTCGAAATGTTCAGTCCATCGATCAAGACGACGTTCTGACTATGGATCGGTGTGCCGTCGGACTCCTGAATTACCTCACGCCTGCTTTTCGTTGACCTGTACTCCTAATTAATCGAGCTGTCTACAAGCCGTTGGTAAATATATATCAGGCTCGTAACAGATTATGTTCTGTATCCACGGGTGTTGACCAGTTGAACTGGTAATCATGACTGAATCCCGCTATCGATGTCCACTGGTGATTTGATCTATTTCCATTCATCATTGAGACGAGTTAGAGGGNACAATCAGTGATCTGCGCAAAGTTTAAGCGACCTCCATTGTTCAGCCGGTTGGCTGAGATTGCATTTCGGCTGCTTGGGTATCATTGTGAATCATCGACCATAGTTACCCTTTTACCTTTCCTCGTTTCTTTTTTATAACGGTACTTACTATGCGGAAACTGCAACAGGCCACTCAGCTCAGGTTTTCATTAACCTTTGTGAAACCTTTTTTAAGTAAACTATGTGCTTTTACTTGTGTGACATGTATAGTCTAATTGTTCAATACGCTTGCTTCTTTTGTCCACAGCCGGACCAGTCATCGAGGTCGACGCTCTGAATCGAGATCACCACGCGGAAGACGATCGGATCGAGGTGATCGTGGACGACGTAGTCCTAGCGGATCACGTCGTGGTCATCGTGAACGATCTAGGTATGTGGTTTTAATAGACATCTGATTTTTCCACCTTTATAATCCCTATCAAGTTCGTTTAGTAAATTTATAGGGACTGGGCCCTTTATCCGGCTTCCATCATCAGAATACCACAATGATCTTTTTTTTCTTCAGTGGTCATCGAAGTCGCAGCCAAGCAGATAATGCAAATTATTATAAAGTTGTTATTCACGATTACATTCACTTAGGGTGGGACATGGCTGTGAGGAGAATGCACTATTAATATCAATTGTTTTTATATTTCACTTAATTGCTTCAAAACACCAATGCATACGGTGGACCAGTGTTTTGCAAATTACTGTGCAAGTTTTTTCCCACGCGCTTAAGGTAATCTTTAGTTTAGCAAGCGAACTCCAGCTCGTGTCCCGTCAATTATCCTCACCTGATCCAGCATATCCATAGGTTCTAATTTAGTTGGACTGAGATAAGGACGGCAAATAGATACCTTTGAACTAGCAATTCTTTGATAAGGTGGTCGTGGCTTTGTGATGTACGACGCGTGTATTGCAGTGTTATGTACTATCCATCCATCCATCCATCCATCCATCCATCCATCCATCCATCCATCCATCCATCCATCCATCCATTCATCCATCCACTGATGGCTAATAACACCTATTTCGCTCAATCCCATTTAGATCACCACACGGGAGAAGCTCTCGATCTCCATCCCCACATTTTCGACGTCGTTCTCGTGATCGTCATGCACCACGGGGTCGGTCTCCACACGATCCAGACGACTCATACGAATCCCGCACCCATCGCGATCGACGTCATGGTCCACGAGATAGAAGTCGTACTCCGGGATCAAGCTCACGCAAACCCCATAACAATCTACCAGTGGATCCAGTTGTCGGTGATATTTACGAGGGTCGTGTGTCAAATATTCTCGCATTTGGTGCGGTGGTCCAGATTGACGGTCTGCGAAGACGATGCGAAGGCCTGGTCCATATCTCTCAGCTGAGACGTGAGGGGCGTGTGGCCAATGTGAGCGATGTTGTACAACGTTCACAAAAGGTATGTAATTCGATCTTTACATCTCTGCACTCCGTAAATCTTCATGTTTGTTGTACTCTTGACTAACTTTGGTTTGTGAAACCAACCGTCATCATACTTGTACGATGAGATACAGTGGAAAAAAATTGGCCAATCGCTGCTAAGTTCACAGTGCTCACGAAGTAAGTTCCAGTGTGTAATGTCACACGGAACTAAGAGTCTACTAAACTCTTTTAGGATGGTTTCTGTTTATTGGTCCATGTCAGGGTTCGTGGTCTGTTAACTGAACCTGGTGTGAGTAGGAGACCGGTATAGTCCGTAATGAATTTTTCTTGCGGGGGGCTGACGGAAGTAATCAAACGGTTTCCATAGGATAGACACGGTATTTGGCTTTGCGACAGCATTTCGACAACTAGAGTAGAGTATCGGTTGTAGGACTCAGATCAGTATGCATCATAAACCAACCAAATCTGCCCACCCATCATAGTCGTTTGCGTACACTCTCACAAAAGCCTAACGATCCCAAGAATGTCACCTTGATCATAAATACATTCAAAAAACCTCATACATTATTTTTTGAAACCGTTCTGTTTGTGTTTTACATGCTTGTGTGGATCCAGGCGGTATACCTCACAAATCAGAGTGCAAACGAATTCATGACAGAACAATCAATTCGTGATTTCTTCGAGGGTGTAGTTCCGCTAAACTAAGGCAGATGGTTTTCTCGAATCCAACTAGAGCTGACCAACAAGGTATTGCAACGATGTGTGAAAACTGCGGTTTGGTAGCGGATTGGTGTCCAGCCTTGTAGGGGGTTAACCTAACCATGAGTAGAAAGCGCAAGCGATTCTTATGCTCACCACTCAGTCTGACTACGCAATAATCCCAATAAAATTCCGATCAGGAGCTTGTCCTATCACTTGAGCAGACAACGGTCACTGAATCGTGATTAGTGATCAATGTAAAGACGCGCTACACCAGTTGAATGTGTCCCTCTCCCTCTCTGAGAGCCGCAATGTATCACTTGCTGATTGGGCGAGTTTACCTATGGGTTGTTGGAACATACCTTTGTGACAAATAGTAAACGATCTGGTACCTAACAAATCATAAGCGAAGATAAAAAGCGATGAGTGAGGGTTGACAGACCACGAGAAACACTAGGTATCATCCTCTCCTTACTTCAATCGACCTCTCTAGAGTTTGTGACGTGAACTGTCCGATCACCAAATTGATTCGGTCTGTAGCTTTGCTCCTGCTTCACCCGTGTCTTACTCCACTTGTTCCCTAATTTAGGTCTATGTGAAAGTGTTATCATTCACTGGAACACGAACCAGTCTGAGCATGCGTGAAGTGAATCAGGAGACCGGGGAGGATTTGAACCCCCAGAAAACAGCAAAAGATCAGTCGGACGAAGATCGTGGTAAAATACGCGATATGGATGCTACTGATTTAGACGGAGTTCGTAATCCCGACCGACCAGCTGGTTCGTCTGCCGCTACCCCAGCCTCCCGAAGTGCCTTGTTCGGGCCGCGACGCATTGAACCTGGCGCGGACGATGACTTGGAGTCAGGTCCAAAGCGGTAAGTTCTTCTCACACAGCTGACTTTTCTTACTGCTCAATTTTTTAAAATTAAATTCACATTTGTGTGATGAACAGCAGACGGGGTGAAACCCCATAAACACGAGGACCTGCTGTTCACTCCTAGGAACCAGTACCCTAAGCCCCGGGGATTAGAGTGGCGAACCACATAAGGACCCAATAGTATAGACTCGGCATTAATCCGGGCGACAGCAGAGCTGTCTGTCATCAAAGATTGTACCCATAGTCCTGGAAACCCTTTCACTGGAGCGGACCGGCGATCTGAGTCTTAAGATTTCGGGTATCCAACTATGTAAACCCCCGAATGGGATAGACATGGTGTCGATCCGGGTGACCGTCTTCGCCCAATGTCAGGTAGTTCAAGTAGCAAAGCTCGAAAAGCGGTCTTTAAGGCTTGGAGATCGTCTAGAATAGCGAATCATACCATGGGATTAATAGTCAGAGGCCCTTTTCCGCATACATCTGATTTTCTTACACAATTTAACCGCATCTTGTCAACATTTATCTTTTCCGCGAATCTCATCCCTTTTTGAGTAGAAGTGAATGATCAAAGTCGCAGTATAACCACTTAGCTTAACATGGCTTCACTCGCACCCAACCCCAGTCTCCATTGTCCACCACCGACATGTTTCACTTTTTCATCATACTTCAACAGCGCTTCGGCGGTAGTGTTTGTTAGAACCAACTGAAAACTATTAACCAACCTTGACACGAGCGATCCAGGTCTCACAGGAAAAGGACACTAATAAATGCGGTTTTTTATGCCCATCTTTTCAGCTACAGTTACATTTTGTCGCCTTGCCTTGGGTGTTTCGATTTGGTAAGGAATGGCCGTCAAGATACTACTCATCTGTTAGCCTTTTAAAAGCGTATTCATTCGAATCGAACCATTCACCTAGACAGCGGGGCTTGAACGTCCAGAATCAAGATTCTTTCAATAATGGTTGATAGTTCATCGGTCTTTTGGAAATGTTCCCGGTTTGCATATCTCTTGGATTAACCATATCATCAGGCTGACAGACCATATTCATATCAACACTATTAGAATAGCTTTCATGCAATTTCAAAAGCCATCGCGGAGGCGCAATGAAACAAGCTTTAAACTCAAGATGTATTCTTCAAGGCCACCAATTGCACTTCTGCGTAACACGATCAGTGCGTTGACGTGCTGAAAGTTTTAGCCATTGGTGCCCACAGCGCAAAGCTAAAGTAAGATGGCAAGATGAGGTCTCTAATCAATATGTCCGTCAATGCTGTCTGAACACAGTAAGTTGACTTGCATTCCTGTAACGAGGACTTTTGTGGTGGTCCGGTCACGGCTATGTCCGAAAATCGTGCCCGACTGGGGAGATCGTCACAGAGGCAATTGAAAGATCTGGGCTGTTACTACCCAGGCTGACATGGAATACTTAGATATGCTAGTGGTACATAATACCGAGAACTGGATTCTCCACCATGGTGCGTGAGCGGTGATGATATGAGACATCCATGAAACCGACCTATTGGTGGTAAGCGCCTTCGCTACACTTCCGGTGCAATACAACACTTGTCATAGTGGAGTTCCAAGTTCCTCTCCACTCCATGTTGTTGGTTACCCTAAGTGAACAAAGGTCCCCTTGACTGTAGAGTCTAACCGGTCACACCATAGTATACGATAGAAAATTAAAAGTAAATTAAGTATTTTGAAGACGCAAACCGCATAGTCGGCCGAGCCACCTCCATCTCCATTTAGTCACAATCCTGCCGTTTTTACCCAGACAAACATGTCACCGGTGAACTGTAAATGATAACTCCACTTTCAGGGCAAGGTTCACTTTTACCCGATGTGATATAACCTGTCCTAATTATCTACTTGGTTGAAGGGTACATCAATCAGATTTAGGAAAGCACATGGTCCAAATGAGTGTGCGCACCTCGAAAGGCCACTGCATTAATGTCTGTAGTGCTCTGAAGTTTAGCGACCTATGGACATCCTCTGTGAAATGGAATCGATCCGACTCAGGAAACGGCGGGTCGGATCTATCCAAATCAGGTCAGGTGAAATAAAAAAATTGCTTTATCACATCCTCGAGTCCATAATCAGCCACCTAAAACCCATCAGAGAAAAATAGATCAGATTGAGTACAGCATACACGTAGGACGCAGCTTACTGTTAGGGATAAGTCATGTGAAAGACAGTCCGAAGATATATAAATACGGTCGAAATAAGGAACGAAAAAAGAGTTGTATGCTTTTGTACCTGCTCGGAAGTGTTTTCTACTGAGTCATTAGAAGAGATGGAAATACATTCAGAGAATACGGGATGACAGGGTTCAGACGGTATCTTGTGAACGAACTGATCACGAATTTCGACGTGTAATATGGTGGACGACTTAAGCACGGGAGTAAACCAAAGCACGCACATACGGATAAATGCCTGAGTGATCCGGATATCACGCAGACATCCAGACATCTGGGAAAACCACTGGGGGAGGTATCAAGCCATTGTGGTGAAACACAGACTGATTACGAGCTATTTTATCAAGTGTAAACAGATAAATGACAGCTTTGGGAGAAAGCCTTCTGACTTTTACAAGAAAAAAAGCACTGATATACCCCGAGCAGGTGTGGGAGGAGTTGAGAATAAGATAAAAGGTTATTCTCAACTCCTCCCACACCTGCTCGGGGTATATCAGTGCT